AAATAGCTTATAATTAACTAAATATTAGAGTTGTTCCCCGTCCCCACCCTCAGTAACGAAAGAAAAATAATAATGCAGATTTTGGCCCTGTTGTGTATGTTTGGTAATTTTTAGTGATGGTCGGGAGTTAAAAAAAGCCGAGAGTCGGGAACCGAGACCGAGACCGGGAATCAACCCCGAGACCGAGTCCCGGGTCGAGACCGAGAGTCGAGACCAAGAGATTAGGAAGCGAAATTTTGAAATGCGAAAAATTAAATTAAAATTTTAATGTTTTAATTTTTTGGGTTCGAATCCCTCCCTGGATTCGAACCCAGACCTAACAAAATAACTAGGTGGTTGAAGTCAGTCACACTTACCACTCAACCATCGAACAACTAAAGAAAAATAGTAGAAAATATAAATATTTCTTTTCCTTTTCCTTAAAAAATTTAATGTCAAAGTACAAGTTGTACAAGTAAAATTCAAAAAATTTCCGTCATTAGGGGTGTAAATTTAGTCTCGTTTTCCGAGACTAAAACACCGAGACCGAGAGCCCAAAAAACCCGGGAAATTTCCCGACTCGGGAACCGAGACCGGGAATCCCGACCATCACTAGTAATTTTGCATGTTCTGTCCATATTTCGTCATTTTTTGTAAAATTTTGCCAAAAATTGGTCAAAATTTGGAATTTTTTAGTAAAAAAATTTTTCAAAAAATTTTTTTCAGAAATTTAAAGTCAATAGAATCTTTTAGTAGGAGTGATCTTCTATTGCAATTTTAAAGGTAAAAACACCCAATTTAAACATATCCGCATGCAAAACACGGCTAAATTACTGTATTTTTGCTGCATATTTAGTGCTTATTTGAATAAATTTTGCATATTTTGGGCTTTTACGGTGCATTATTTGGCGATTTTTTAATAGCAAATATTTGGCGATTTCCGTACATATATTAGACCATGTTAATAATGATGCATCGATATGCGAATATACACAAGACCAATATACAAATATACTGTAAATCCTATAAAATACCCACGGGGGCTGTTTTCCGATCGACCTCTAGCGGAGCTATTTTAGATGAAATACATTAAGAACCGGGCCCTAAAGTGTACATATCAATTAGGGTTGCCAAAATGGACCGACTCGGACCGAAAGATCGAGTCATGCCTCGATGTTTGGCCCGAAAAAGTCTCGTACCGGCCCGACTCGATAAATTTAGGCCCGAAAAAGACTCGTAACGGCCCGACTCGATAAAGTTAGGCCCGAAAGTGACTCGTACCGGCCCGACTCGATAAAAACAGGCCCGAAAAAAATTGTCTCGGAAAAAGTCGGCCCGACTCGAACGAGACTCGATAATATTTTTACCAGATTTGTGGACAAAAATGGGTGAAATCTGGCTCTGTGGCCTTCAGAATTCAAAAAATTTTCGCCTGCGGTGCTGAAAAAGGAAGAAGTTTGGTCCTTAGCCTTCCGAATATCTCAAAATTTTTGCCTGCATGAAGGGTTTTTATCTCCATACTTTGCTTCACATCTCGAACTTACTGGCTTTAATTGATAAGCTGGATTACTGGGAGTTATGGTATATATTCCGCGGGATCCCGTCATAATTTGAACTTTTGAAACTCAATCAGTTTTGAGAGTCCACAATTTTCCGCAGTCCGCAATTTTAACTTTAAAATACACAGTCGCAATCTTCAGTCCACAAGTCTTCCATTTATAGCGCAGCAGGCGAAAATTTTTTAAAATCTGAGGGTTGTAGGCGAAAAAATTTCACTTTTTCGACCATTCTTCTACTAATTCTTCCCTCTTTCCCCTATTTCGGGGGGGGGGGGGGGGCTCTAGCCCCGCCCCCCAGCCCCCCTGGATACGCCCTTGGATTAAGTGTGTATTTAATTGGCACCAGTGATTTGGAGGTATATCAGTGATTTCATCTTTTCTTTTACCGCTGGAGTCGAAAAGTTTAAGACTTTTGGAAGACTAAGTGGCCAGATTTCTTCCTTTCTAATGTCAATGAATGATAAAGAAGCTGTAGGAGAAATTATGATGGATTTAGAGCATAAACAAGGATACGAGGAAATTAAGGGATTTGGTGATTAACGCACGATATCCCCGATATCCCTTCAAATCTCCTCATTCCTTCTAAATCCCATTACAATATATCACCTTAATCATCTGATATACGATCCTGAACCCCTTAATCATTTGATCTCCTTTAATAAAACCAAATCTAGCAATATCTCACATCAATCCTCCGATAATTTAAATCACCTTAATCCCTCAAATCCACTGATATCCATTTTAATTCTCTTCAGCCCTTCCTTTACCCTCCTGATCCATCGATATACCTTTTAATTCAGAGATATCCCTCCAAATCCACTAATTATTTTTAAATAAATCTTTTAAAAAAAGACTCGAAAATGTCTCGGTGCCCGACTCGATAAAGTCAGGCCCGAAAGTGACTCGTACCGGCCCGACTCGATAAATTTAAGCCCGAAAAAGACTCGTATCGGCCCGACTCGATAAAGTTAGGCCCGAAAAAGACTCGTACCGGCCCGACTCGATAAAAACAAGCCCGAAAAAAAATGCCTCGACCGTCGGCCCGACTCGAAAACGGCAACCCTAATATCAATGTAAAAATACCCACTTTAAGCATATCCGCATGCAAAAACGCATTTCTCCATACTTGTAATCCAATCTCCCCTTTAAGATACACATTGGAGGCACCGCGCAGACGTAAAAAATATAAACAACCCCAAAGAATGGCATCTATATGATGATACGAAAGTTAGTAAGCTGGAACTGAAAGCAGTAAAGATGTAAATTATTTTTAAATCTTTTTTAGATAAATTATTTAGGAAAAAACCACCATGATGACTAAAAAAGCAAGCTAAAATATGTTTTCATTATTTCAAAGATAATCCGAGCCCTAATTATTCTTCCATTATATTTATTTTAAATATGTTGTTGGCATTCTTGACTTTTATTTGTTGAATTTTATTTTATTCATTTAAATTTTATCATTATTAAATCTATTTTATCAGCTATTGTTATAAATTAATTAATAGGAAATTAATAATCTCGTTATAGATTTCAAAAATTATTCAATATGAAAAAATTTATAAGTTAGGTATATTTAAAAAATCTAACTATACTTTTTCTAATTAAACAAAAATTCATTTCTATTCAAAAATAAATTGTTGTCAATCTGTTTTCTTTTACTCTTCTTTTTATTTGCAAAAAAATTGTTGTTATTAAAATTATTTTTTGTTGAAATATTTAATTGGCAATTGCTGCTAGTATTTGTTTGAAAGAAGTTTGTTGTCGTTGACGGAGAGAAGAGTTTATTTTCACAACAAGTAGTTAAACTATTTTCGTTTTTGTTATTATTTGTTGTTAAATGTGGAGAAACTAAAAAAGAAAAAAATTATTTTTATTTTATAATCCATTTTTTATCTGGAAAAAGGACAGAAAATACAAGAAAAATGATTTCACGTGTTTATGGAGATTCCCTAATTTTTTAATTATTAAAATATTCACCAGCAGCAGAAACATTCATTTGATTTTCTTCTTCTTCAATTCCAGTTAAACGTAAATTAAACTGTCCAGCAGAGCTGCTTGCTTTAAAAAATAAAATTGATTTTAAATTTAATTTCAATTAATTATTAAAATAAATATTTACCTAAAGAAGCATAACCAGAAGAATTTGGAGAGTCAGGAGAATCAACAAAATTGAATCCCTCGTTTTGACTTTGACTTTTGGGGAGTCGATTAATTAAATATTTATTGTTGTTAATTTTGGATTGTTTTTGTGTTATTTTGTGTTGATTTGAAGATTTATTAAAAGAACTCGAAGGTGGTGTAAAAAACTAAAATTTAGAAAGAAAATCAGAGAAAAAATTCAAAATTAATTTTTCGGAAATAAAAATCCAAGAAATAACAAAATCAAAGACAAACCCCTCAAAGATCGAAATTTCCCTTTTACATGAATAAAATAATTTTTAAAAGTATATTTAATATCAAGCTTAAAAACCAATTAAATTCTACCAACATTGCTTATTTTATTAGGCAAAGAAATTGTTCTCTTCATTTGTGAAGATAATAAAAAATTATTTTCAATTGTTGTGTTGTATGAACTTGAACTTGGTTTTAAATAAATTCTTTTTGATTTGGATATTAATGAATTAATTGCTTCTTCTTGTCTAAGTCTATCCATCTATAAATAAAAAAAACATATAATTTTTTTAATCATTGAAGGAAGTATGGATAGAAGCGTACACTTAAACTAAAATTCTTACAGCTTATGATTCCCTTAGAAAATTTTGAAATTTTTGACTAAATATTTTTAGGGATATTTATGGTCAAGAAAAAGATCCCCAACAATAACTTTTTACTATATCTTAAGAAATAACAACTAAAATTTCTACAATTCCAAGACTTTGTTAACATCAACGAGTATTTTTAAGAAAATTCCATTAACTTTTAGAAGCTCGATTTTAATTCAAAGTAATCGGCCAAACATTAAATTCAGTCACCAAAACTTTATGTAATCTATTTTAAAAAAATTTCTCCACCTTAATTAGCCATTCAACATTTTGAATAGTTTTTGATAGATACTCATTTAAATATTTATTTAAGTGAATTGGTTGTTGCTTTTCCATTCCTTCAATAAATTCTTCTTTTGTTTTTTCTTCCTCCTCCTCTTTTTCATCAATTTCTTTTAAATTAATATTTTTGATGGCTAATTCTGCAAGTATTTCACGTTTTTCCATTTCAAGTGTACATTTTGGTATACACCCAATTATATCCACAAAAAGTCCCGTTCCAATACGTTTTTCTTCTTTTTTAATTATTTCTTCTTGGTTTTCATTTAATTCGAAAAATAAAATAAAATTTTTAAAATCTATTTTAGGCAATTGCATAGGCAAAAGGATAATTTAATAAATAAATAGCTCTAAATTAATGTTAAAATGTGCCGCAGCTTTACTTTGACTCTCAAAACTTCCGCTCCCAACAGCTAGTTCAGAAAAGGAAGTTAGAAAAAGACGTTTTATTGGAAAAGGTTAAAGTGTTTTTGGAAAGAATTATATAAAATTTCGAACCATTTTTACTTAAGGGCCAAGAAGAAAAGAAAAGAGAATGCCAACGAGTTGTTGTTGATAAATTTTGAGAACGTTGTTCAAAAGGAATAAATTGAAGACATAAACGTTTTCTCAAAACTAAACAAGCATTGATTGGTTGGGATATTTTAATATAAACCTTAAAGAGAAGGTAAATTAAAAATTAAAAAAAAATTTATAAAACCTTAACAATAACATAAATATATTCCCCAATTTTTGATTCTCGATTCATTGCTTGACATTCATGTAAAGAGCTATCCCACGGACATATTACAGAAAGGCGAGTCTAAAAAATTTAAAAAATAATAAAATATAAAAAAGCAACAGAGGCTAATGAAAAACTATGGGGCGGATCAGAAGTTCCATCTTCTCCCTTTAGAAAGCCCTGACTTGGACACCCTCCATCTTCTATAATTCATTTACCCCCAGATTAGCTGCCTACAATCAAGAAAAACTAAAGAAGGTTAGAACTTTAATTTAAAAAAGCCGTCTTCTGTATTCAAATAAAACCAAAAAAATATACTTGATTTATATCCTTTTCTGTAATAGCCAATTCCAAATTGTCATCATCTTCTTCTTCTGTATTTTCACCCAAAAGGAAACAATCTTCTCCAATAATAGACATATCTTCGTCTTCATAATCCTCATTTAAATTAATTTCATCTTCTTTAAAATAAAAAATACATCAAAAATATTTTTAAATTTAAAAGAAACCTTTTCTATCCAAAAAAATAATTGGACAATATTTTTCAAACCCTTCCAAATTAATTAAATCAATTAAAGCACCAGGAATTCCTTCTTTTGTAGGTAAAAACAAAGCATTTCTTTCTTCAATTAATTCTATCCAAGATAAAAATAAAGAATTTTCTCTTTCTTTTTCTTCAAAATTATTTAAAGATTTTAATTCTTTTTGTAAATATTCTTCTCTTTTTAAAAGTAAATTATTCCAAAGATTTCCAATTTTAATTAAATCATTTTCTTGGTAACTATCCAATAATTTTTTTGAATTATTTTCTTCCTTTTTTTCTTCATTTAAAATCATAGAACCAACAGAAGCTGAATAAACATCTTCCAAATGTAAAGGTAAATAACCACCATTTTCTCCAAGAGAAGATATTGTTAGACGTAGACGGCGTTGTTGGCCGGGTCGGAGGCTTTTTAAAAATAATTTATTTATAGAAAAATACCAAAAAATGCCGATAAATCCCTCCACTTCCACAATTATTTTCTGTATCTACATTAACTGGAATATATTCTCCAACATCGTTCAATTCAAGAATTTCACAAAATATTTCTGAAATAAATTTAAAATTATTAGGGAGTCATATAAATTTGTCATTTGTTTATCAACTTTTGTTAGGTAAACTGACAAAAAAAATAAGTAAAATAATTAGAGTCATTAAAGGTACTGTTTTAAACGATACCCTCCTTTTGACTTTTGCTGCATTCGTAAAACAAATAAACAAATTAAAAAATAACTTTTCCCAAAAATATAAATAAATGATAAGAGTTGACCTTCATCTCAATTAAAGAGATTCCCGACTTTCCCAATTTAATATTTATTACTGGCTAAACCTTATCTCTTATTATTCACATTCTGTATTAATATTTACCCATTTCTCGACTCTGCCCATCTCAATAACAATATTTGTTTACCAAAATTTCCACTATATATATCCGCCACATTCTCATCTATTTTGTCTTATATTGAACTTTACTTTTTAACTCTTCAACTTATAATATTTTAACCCTTTGAATAAATTCATATTTAAAATCTAATTTGACCAAGGCTTAGAACCGAGGGTTTATAGTGAACTTACAAACAGTTCATTTTGGTGCCACTTAATCCGGGTGAAAAGCATTGAGAGAAAAAGAATTTGTTTGAAGGATATTTTGATCCTGAAGAGAGCTTGTTCTAAAGAGTGTTGAGAGAAATTGTGGGAGGAAAATACCCCACGTAATTAATTAATTTAAAAAAAAAACGAGGTAGACTGCTTGGTGCTCTATCCTCCTGCTAGGTGCAACGGTTAAAGTAGAGGAAATTGCTGGGTGCAATCCTCAGTTTAAAAAAGAGAGGAACTGGATTTTCCACTCTCAGAAAAGCTCTATAAAGGATTTCCTGCCCCTGAAAACATTTTCTGGAGTATCTTAGAAATGGATAAAAATCAGACACAGACAACAGGATCAGATTTTGCGAATAAATTTTTTACGCCTGAAGAAGGTCGTCATTGGAATAATTTGTTATTCCGATTACGCAGCTTTGAAGAGGCTGTTTGTAAAAATTTCCGTAAAATCGAGTCGAAAATTACTGAAGGACAAAATTTGACACTAAATTCGTCCTCATCTGAAATTGACAAAATAAATGCTTTAATAGATGGAAAATTTGAAAAATTAGAAAATCAATTTAAAAATTTAAAACAGATTGTCAAAGAGGAAATATCAAATTTAGGAGTTGATAATGATGTAAATAGAACTAAAATTCAAGAAATTGAAAATAAAATTGAAGATAAAGAATTAAAAGATGAATTAGTCTTTTTGCGCTCTAAGAATATGGAATTAGAAAAAGAACAGATTCTGCAAATCCAACGCCTAAACATCCTAGAGGAAGGGATGGAAAATGTTGAGAAAAATTTAACTAAAAGTGAGCAAAAGATAGCAGAAATTATTGCTAAAAATGCGCGTAAATTAATTGATAAAATCGAAAGTCTTGAAGCAAAAGTAGAGGTTTTAGAAAATGGATCGAGAGGATCCGGATTTTCCTGGAATGGTCACGGAAGTAATGAATCTGTTGACCTAAATCTCAAGACCAAACCTCCGGAAAAAGAGCCTGAAGATGTTAAGAAACCCATTACTGGAGAAAATGTTGAGATTATGATCGGAGACCCATTCTTAAATGGTCTAATGACCCCTGTCGGAGTCTATGACGGAAACCCGACTAGCTCATTCTCGAAATTTTTCCAGCGATTCATGGATGCTCTAAATTTAATAATTACTCCCCTAAATGAAGCACAAAAGCTTAGTCGTCTAAAAGTATGCCTGGGAGGTCGTGCTCGTGCTGAACTTGATGCTAAAGTCCCGCAACCAGCTACTCTGCAAGAAGCTATAGATTTTTTGCAAGAAAAATTTGTAAATGGTCATTCTCGTACGGTAGCTAGGCAAGCCCTATCTATAATTAAACAAGCACCTGGAGAAAGAGTTTTTGAATTTGCGCAGCGATTAAACGACGCAGTACGTGCTGTAATGATTGGATATGAAGAAAATACAATACAACAGCGATTGCTAGATGAATTTTTGGATAGGCTTTTGCCAGATCTCCAATTCGAAGTAAAAGCTGCTAGACCTGAAGAATATACTAAGGCATTTGAAGTTGCCGAACATTTTGAACTATTATTAGGAGAAAAACGCCAAAAATATCAAAATAATCATTATGTGGATTTGGCAGAAAAAATGGAAGCCCTAGCAATTAATCGGTCTAGAGAAACAAGACGCTTATGCTATTACTGTCATAAACCTGGACATGTCATAGCGGATTGCCGAAATAGAGCAAGAAAAAATTATAAAGCTCGCCAATATAATAATTATGAGCGAAGAAATTATCAAAATAATTATTGGGAAAACAGAAATAATTACAGAAATGAATATAATAGTGATAGCCGCAGATATAATGATAGAAATCGCGAAAATTATAGAGAAAATTCGCCAAATAATTACAGCCAGTCACCCACTAGAAATGTGAGATATAGTGAAAGCCGAGTTGCAAGTCCACTAAGGATATCTAGCCCATACTTGCTAACTATATTTGCACTTATTGCTATTATAAGTCCCACTTTGGCTAGCTCTGCACCACAAATTGAAATGAATTGTCCCGCTTACTCACCCTTTACCTTTAAAGAGAAAACAATACTGGACAATTGGAAAATAACAAAATTAAATAATGAGAGCAAATTATCTTCAAATTATGCGAGTTTGCTTATAGTAAATCAAATTTGGATATTTCTCGCCTTTTTCTTTGCTAGCACAATAATATGTTTACTGATGTTTATTTTAAAGCAAAGTGCATTGAAATTAACCGCAAAATCGCTAATTAGAAATAATCATAATAGTGAAAAGGCGAAAATAAAATTAATGGAAAATATTGAATTTAAAAACAATCACGAAATAAATAAAAATAATAATTCACTAAAGAATTGTGGCTTGAGAATAGACACAAACCTAACAAGCCCAAGCCAAAAACATAATTATCAGAAAAATAGTCCCACAAATAAAAAAGTAAGAAAAAAGTGGGTTGAGGACAAATTCATGATAAGGCCCCCTAACTTTAAAATGGGAGAATCGGCAAAGAAAGCAGGACCATCAGAGATAGACCACATCCAGCATCAAAAGATAAGACTGCCAACGTCAAAACAACAGACAGGACACACAAAGGTAGAGGAATGGAATCGGCAAATGAATGGACAAATGCCGAAATGCAAAAAGATAAGAATAGCTGCTTATCCGTAATATAAAAAGTGTTACTTGTACAAAAAAACACCAATTTCCTTACCCCATTTCCTTTTAAATAATTAATCAAATTCCCTAAAATTTTTTTTTACTTTTAATAGTTTAATTTTTTAGTTTGTAATCCAATTTAAATATTTTTCTATACCCCTTTAACCTAATGTCGGAGAAAAAAAAATTAATCCCATAATGGGAGAAATACTATAAAATTAAATAAATTTAAAAAAAAAAGATAAAATAAGAGGAGAATTTAAAAATAATAAATTTAAAAAAATCCCTCGATAAAATTTCAAAGCTAAAATGGAACCTTAAATGGCTTCTAGAATAAAATTTTTGTTTTTACAGAATGCGATTTGTAGCAAATAAACAAATTAAAAAATAATTATAATCTCCTCCGTTTATTTTAATCATGACGTGGACGTCATCTTAATTAAGGGGGAAGGAATGCTGCATTCGTAAAACAAATAAACAAATTAAAAAATAACTTTTCCCAAAAATATAAATAAATGATAAGAGTTGACCTTCATCTCAATTAAAGAGATTCCCGACTTTCCCAATTTAATATTTATTACTGGCTAAACCTTATCTCTTATTATTCACATTCTGTATTAATATTTACCCATTTCTCGACTCTGCCCATCTCAATAACAATATTTGTTTACCAAAATTTCCACTATATATATCCGCCACATTCTCATCTATTTTGTCTTATATTGAACTTTACTTTTTAACTCTTCAACTTATAATATTTTAACCCTTTGAATAAATTCATATTTAAAATCTAATTTGACCAAGGCTTAGAACCGAGGGTTTATAGTGAACTTACAAACAGTTCAACTTTCCCCGTGTCATATTAAGAAATAATTTTTTCATTTAAATTATTTACCCAATCTTTTAGTAACTTCTTTCCAACGCTCTTGAAGTGTCTGCATTTTTTGTTCCACAAAATTATTTAAATAATTCTTCTCTTTTTGTTGTTTTTCCTCAATTCCTTCATCATCTAAAGGTTGTTTATGTCCCCAAACTTCTATGGAAAGTGCATCCTCTTTTATATAATCCAAAAATGTTTGTGTACAAACTAATTCAAATTCCTTAATAAATTATTTTTTATTAAGGCAAATCCCGTTTTTAAATACCCCTTTGGGACTAAAAAACCGTACCTTATAATGAGTGGCACATTTAATTGGGTGTTTAGTTCCTCCCCCCCCCCCAGTGTTGAATAAAACACTATATTGGGGGCATCTACTTATTAAAAAAGCTGGACTGTATAACCAAAAATTTTAATTTTTCTAACATTTTTTGAGTTAAAATAAACGTCTGCAGAGTTTGTAGTGTCGCTAAAATTTTGCGAATCTTCAACATTTGTAATACTTGGAATTATTACTTGTGGTCGATCAAAAAATGAATATTGACAGAAGACAAGATGTGATTGATTTAAAGGTAAATTTGTTGCTTTTAAAATTTCTACCTTAAAAAAAGAAAAAATAATTGGATTTACTTATATTTTTTTTCTTGGATTAATCTTTTGAATGAGAGAAAAACTAATAAAAGGTGGGATTAGATTTAAAAAAAAAGATTCAAAGTTACGATTCGAAAACAACCCTAATAGGAATGAACTGCATTTCAAAAAATATTCATTTTCTCACAAAAAATTATTTTTCCAAACCTTCGCAACAATCGATTGTCCAAGTAATTGTCTTTCAATTCCTTGATTTAATTCTTCCAAAATTACATCTTCTGCTTCCTCTTTATCCGAAAATTCCATAGATTCTGACGATTCACTATTACTTAACAAAGCAGTTTTGTGTATTTGGACAAAGAGTTTTCCTTTAAAAATTAGTAATTAAAGTGTTTTTATTGTTTAATTCTTACCGCTAATCTCTCCCTGTTGATTAATAATTAAAACTTGGGTTTGCATTGGGGAAGTTAAATTATGTAATAAAGCACCTAAATAAACATTTGCAACGCCAACAAGACTTTGTTTTCGCTAAAAAAATAATTTTTAAATTTATTATTTGGAGGGATTAAAAGTCACAAAACATTTTTGAAAAAATTAATTCCATTTCAAATATGATTTTAAAATTTAAATTCGTTTCATTGAAGAGAAGAATTTTAAAAAATTTCTAAATAATTCTTAAATTATTACCAAAATAAATGAACGTTTATTGCAATTATATTCCAATTCCTCCAATTCATCCCATTTATTTAATCCATCATTTGTTGTTGTTAAATTAGAATTTAATGAAACTGTTGAAATTGCTTCTCTCATTTCTTCCAATTTTAACTAAAAATAAAAAAATATTCAAAAAATTTTTTCCAAAAAACACCCCTTACATTAATTTCTTCAATACTAAATTGTTGAAAAGATCCATTAGCAACTTCTTTAGAAAAACAATTTTTATTATTTTTGTTTATTTGCCCCCAAACAGCCAAAATAACAGGTTCACAAATACAATTAAAATATTCAGAATTATTATTTTCTTCCTCCTCTTCATTATTTAATGAATTTTTTCGAAATGTCTGAATTTTTATAAAAATTAAAAAAATAAAAATTTAATAAAACCTTAAAATTCAAAAAAGACGGCTTCAAATTATTTATTGGAATATGCAAATTAACAGAATAATATATTCGAGCATTTTTTCTAAAAATTCTTGCAAACATTTCTGATAAAAGATTTGCATCTGAACAAAGTTTGTTTGCTTGTTGAATTAATTTTTGTAAATATTCTAGTCTAGCTGTGAATAATTGATCTCTAAAATAAAAAATTAAATTCCAAAGAAAACCACAACTTTTATTAAACTAATTTATTGAGACATTTGCCTATGCTAGGCTTTTACTAGAGATAAGCTACTGTTAGAATAAAAATTAAAATTACATTTCATTAGCCCATTCCAAAAAGTTATTTTTGTCGTTTTTGATATTTCCATTATCACAAAATTGAGAAAAACCATTAAATTGTCCGGAAGGGGTTGCTGCTATTGAAGGATATGGAGAAGACTGAAAATACTAAATTAGCCTAATTAATGGTAAGGGAAAGTTACTCTCTTCTAAAATGTAAAATTTTTTTGGACTCATTTCGAACGATTAGTTTACGAGTATAGATAAGATATTTAAAAAATTAATTTTCTATCAAAATTCCACTCCAACCTAAAAATTTAAAAACAAACCTGTGTATTTGTCAACAAATCCCTAATATATTCTGAAAATTCTTCATATTGTTTTTCCAAAGCTAATTGTTTTTCTTTATTGTGTTGCTCTGCTATTTGTGCCATTGCTTCTTGTAAAACTTCTTGTTGTTTTTCTTGTGTTGCTTGGTTAAGTAATTTTAATCTTTCAACTTCTTCTCGAAGTTCTCGAATTATTTTGGCATTTGGATCCTGGAAAAAAGAATAATTTTTAAATTTAATTTTTACCCCAAAATTTTGGGAAATAAAAAATATTTTTCCTAATCTTCAATAAATTCCAAAATTTTAAAAAATTTATTCTATGTATGTTTAATTAAAAACCTCATTAACAACAGCATTTGTTTGAATACGTTTCGCTCTATCAGCAAACCTCAAAGTAGACAAAGTCTCCTCATAATGTTCAGAAGAAGGGGAAATTGTTGCTATCATTGTTGTTCTGCTGTTGCCGCCCTGCAAAATTGAAAAAAATTTTAAATTAATCTTGCAAATTAGAAAGGACATTTTGTCACAAGTATTTTAAATCCTTAAAATTTTCATCTTGAATTCTTACCAAATTTTCTTTCAAAAGCCAAGTAAGCACACTATCTCTATACGGCACAAAATATTTATTATTCGTCCCTCCTTTTGGTTGGGTTGCGTTTCCATTATTTTTATTTGAAGCTAGAGCAGCAATAACCTTCCCCAAAGCAGTTAATGATTTGTTAATGTTTGAGCCCTCTTCTAGCCGTTTTCCTATGGCACCTTAAATAAAATTTGAAAAAGACTTTTATCATTGGATGGATACGGATACAGATGAGTTCAAAATGCCTGCGGATATCCGCCTGTATCCGACGTAAATATCGGGATATGGATACGAAAATCCGTGTCCATGCACAGGTCTGTTTTTATCATTGGATAACAAGTTATCAGGAAATTCCAATTAACTGGAAATTTTTTTGTCTTTCATTATTTTCGTAAAGATATGGATAGGGCTGGCGATTCCAGGAAATTTTCTGGATATCCCGATTTCCTGGGTCCAAACACTTTTGAGAAACTAAGAAAAAAGTAGTCTGGTATAATCAGCTTGTACTAAATTTTAATAAAGAAAAAATGTTTCTCATCAAACCTGTTTTTTGCACTCTTTCGCTTCCAGCCAAATCAACAAGGGAAATTTTGCTAACCGTCTCTCCAGTAAACTAAAAAATAAATTTAAAAAATTTTTTGAATAAAAAAATAATTTTTTCCTCACATTTTCATCCTCTACAGCAACAACTATTTGAGTAATTTTAATTGAAAAAACACTAAAAAACAATTATTCTTTTTAAATTTAAAGAAAAACCTGTGACTTCTACTGCTTTGTTCATTCATTAAAGTCGCGGCTGTACTTCTTTGTCTATTCCCAATTGAAATAAATTGTTCAATTTGTTCAACATTAGTAACTTGCAAGGTTAAAAGACCTTCAACTATTGGACCAAGAAAGGAATGTTCTCGGACTTTTAAGAGCTTTGAGTTGCTAAAAAATGGAAATTTAAATGATTCTTAAGTTAGAGACTGTTGCAATAAATTAAGGAATTGTATTAAATTTGGAAATGTTTGATTAATTGGAGATGCCTCTAAATCAAAAATGGTGGGGCAGACAAATAATCCAATAAAGAATTAGTATTAAAGTGAGGGGAAATACTAACAATTAAAGTATTCATCTTCTCAATTATCCACCTCCCCCGTCCTCTCACCCCAAAAAAGTAAAAGGAACACAACTCTCCACTCTCAAATAAGAACAAAAGAATATTCATTTTAACAAATAATTAAAAAATCAAACCTTAACAAATCCCTTATTCGTTCATTATAAACTTCATAAAAAGAAATTTCGACTTTTATATTACTTAAATTTTGATTAATTCGTTGAAAGAGTTCTTTACATAAACGAGGAATTAACCCTTTAAAATAAACGTTTTTTAAACAAAATTTTTAAATTTAAATAAATACCAGGCTCTTCTTTTGTTCCCATCATTGTATATGACTTTCCAGAACCTAAAAATTCAAAAAAAATTTTCTTCAAAAAAATCCCCTCCCCCTTCCCCTCCCCCCATCACTTACCAGTCTGTCCATAAGCAAAAACACAAGTATTAAATCCACAAAAGGCATTATTTACTACATCAATTCCAATTGTTTCAAATAAATGTTCTTGTGTTCCTTCCAATAAATTAGGAGTAAACTGTTGGGAAGATAAAGTTGAAGTGAATGAAGAGGAGGAAGAAGTGCTGGCAATGCTTGGATTGACTAAAAAGAATTGTTAGAAAATTGAAAGTTTTATTCAATTTATGTTGGAAATTGAGGAACATTTCATTCCCTTTCTTCTTTAAGGTAGAAAGGAAGAGGGGAAAATAAAAGAAAATGGCCAGTCAAAAAAGAAGGAAAATTAGCAAAAATAGGCAGATCTTCTTAGCAAAAATAGACCTTCGTTTTAGAAGTTGAAAAGGGGGAGAAACTCTAATAAAATTCATAGTTACGCTAACCAAAAAAAGGAAAAAACCTCAAAACTTTTAATTTCTAAAAAAATTTATTTTTATTTACATTCTTGTTGTTGAGTAGAAGGAAAACAAAAATCAAAGCCAAATTGTTTTGTGTTTGTAGAATCAACATCATTTGAGTGGGAAAGAATAATTGAATTTTTGGATATTTTTACAACATTTTTGAAATTTTCTGAAAAAGAAATTTTTGGAAAAAAATTTTTTTTCGAAATTTAACCTTTTTTGGAAAGTAGAGGACGTACTCTAACAGCAACTTTTACTTTTTCTGAAGAAAATGTTGTAAGTTGATTTTTAACAGTCATTTTGTTTGAAGGGTTTTTGGTTTAATTAAACCCTGAAAAAAGAAATATTTTTTTAGAAAATTTTGAACAGAAAAAATAAAAAAAAATATTTTTGGAAAATAATCCTTTGGAATTGAACAAGAAAAAGAAACATTTTTTAATTTAAAAACAAATGTTTTTGTTGTTTTTAAATAATTAAAAATAGAAAAAACCGAAAAAATAAAAGAGAGAAAGGTCAGTTGTTTTTAATAAAATGAATTTTAATTAATTAATTACCCAAAAAATAAACTTTTGTTTCAAAAAAGGGGAACAGGATAAAGTAAATTTTTTAGTGAAAAAAATAATTTTAGAAAGGAAATTCTTTAGGAAATATTTTTTGGTTTTTAGTTATCAATTGAAATTATTTTATTTACATATTTATTCTTTTCTTTATCAATTAAAATTGTGAAATATTTCTCTAACACAATGTTAAGAATGATAATTTATTTAGAAAAATTTTAATTAAAGTAAAATTTATTCGAAATCAAATCAACGAGTTTAGCTTCCGGAAATAGACATGAATTTTGCAAAATTAGTTTTCTTGTCTTTAAAAAAGGGTATACCCCTTCCCTGAAAGTTGAGGAATTTGATATTTTCGAAACTCCCTTGCCCTCTCCTTATGGCGAAATCTTCTTTAAACCTAAACTTTTTCTTCGACCCTCCATTGAAACACTAACACAGAAAATCTTAACATAAGGGTAGTGAAAGAACCCCCCCCCCCCCCCGGAGATTATCTTCGCGTGTTCGAAGTCTAAATTTGATTAAATTATATTATGTGACACTTCCCCTATAAATTGAAGATGTTTTCTGGAGAGAGGATATACAAGTATATTTTCCCATAATTTAAAAGCTCCTTTTCTTGGATAGGCGGCATTTTTACCGTTAAATATTTTTATTTTTACGTAAAAATAAGGGCAAATGCACCATTGGGAATTTTGAAGAAGTAATGGAAAAAAGGCTGAAAATGAGTAGAAAAAAAATATTGGAAAGATGAGATTTACTTTAAAAAAAGAGAGGAATATATGTTTTTATTTGTAAAAAAATGTTTGTCGCAAGGGAATTTTATTTAATCGTCAATTTCTTTGCAAAAAATTAAAAATGACATTTTTTGAAGTTAAAAGGACAGAAAAAATGTTTTTAAAAATATTTTTTAGCTAAGAAGTGTTCGAAATAAGAGATATTTATGTTAGACTTAAGTGGAAAGATAGGGTGAACAAAAAGTTCTACAACAATTTAAATCGACGATAGATGTTTTTAAAAACAATAATCTACGAAAAAACGGGGTCGCTTTAGTATAGGCCCACCGAGATCGGAACTTGTGGTATATACCATTCGATTCGTCTCGCCGAGCTGAGTTCAAATATGCAAGAATTTTCTGCGGGAGACGAAAACTCGCAGAGATACAGGCCCCCAAAAATTGAAAAACCATAGGGGGGACCAAGCACTTTTTTGGGGTAAAAAATCCGAATATGCAAATGATAGCTCATTCGAAAGAGCTCCTCGAGCTGAGTCGAATGACACCAAAATCAACGAAATCTGACATGATTGGACCGAGATATAGGCCCCTAAAAACCGAAGATCCAAAGGGGCGATTTTTGGAATAAAAAATTTTTTATACAAATAATACCTCATTCGAAAAAGCTCGACGAGCTGGGTCAAATGACAACAAAATTACCGTGATTGAACAAGATTAGACAAAGTTATGATACAAAAAACAAAAAACTCTAAACCTATGGGTCGTAGGCGAGGCGCTTGTGCAAAACCCCGCGCTTCGCGCGGGGTTTTGCGGCACGCGCCTCGCGGGGAGTCTACGGGCGCTGGGTCTGGGCTCGTAACATAAACCTATTCCTATCTCCCTTGCTCTGGACGTATTTGGGGCCTCCGTAGCAGCAAAAATCTCCACAGATGCCATAGGTAAGGAGCCAAAAGAAAAGATCATAACTTTATTCAATCATGTCAGATTTCGTTGATTTTGGTGTCATTCGACTCAGCTCGAGGAGCTCTTTCGAATGAGCTATCATTTGCATATTCGAATTTTTCACCCCAAAAAAGTGCTTGGTCCCCCCTATGGTTTTTCAATTTTCGGGGGCCTGTATCTCTGCGAGTTTTCGTCTCCCGCAGAAAATTCTTGCATTTTTGAACTCAGCTCGGCGAGACGAATCGAATGGTATATACCACAAGTTCCGATCTCGGTGGGCCTATACTAAAGTACAGCCGAAAAAACAAAAGGAAAACAAAGCAAATCTTGTTGCCTCTACAGATTCTCCTGAAGAGAAAATTGAAAAATTAACAATAAGTCATCTTTTTGGCTCTATAAGGTGAATACTCCTCAATATCATTTCGTATTGTAAAGCAGGTCAAGTAGTTCGATTAAGGATATTCGAAGCTCTACTTTAATTAGCTTCTAGAAATGGGGATATAAAGGATAACATTCTTGTCTTGGATTGAATTTTCTGTCTCTTAATCTAAAATTTTACAATTCAATCCGATCTAAATTTCTTTTAAATTTTCCTTATTTAATATATTTAAATTAAACACAGTTTTCTCAACAAATTTTAATAAAAAATTTTTTTTTAATGTTTGTGACAATAAAATGATTAAATCAAATGAGGGAGTATTTAATAAAATGTAAATTTGTATTAATTTTGGGGGCCAATAATTTTTAAAAATCCAAAAATATTAAAAGTGAATACCAAAAAACGAAAAAATTTGTTTGCGAGTTTTTCATTTCAATTCCTTCCTTTAATTTAAAAAAAATCAAAAACGACCAATTCGACGATTATAAAGAGCAGACGAAGAAAGATTGAATAATGGAGCGACATTAATTGTTTTGTTTAATTGTGGAACACTTCTAAGCTCAGAGCTGTTATGAACAAACCAACATTTATCGTCAAAACTGAAAAAAAATTTTCTAATTAAATAAAATTTAATTTTCGATCCCAGGAGGAGTAGAAACATTTAAATTTATTTTAAAAATTTGAGGCTATAGCGGTGGACATTTTACCTAAAAATTTTCTAGGGCGTGGGACTATAGACTCAAAAAATACATTTCAAAAACCTTCCACAACGCCAAATAATTTCTGCATCTACCAATAGGAAGAGAGAAAAATTCCTTAAAAATCAACAACCTTCCCTCCCAAATACTAGCCTAGTAACCACTAAAAGAATTAAAAAAACCTGCAATTTCCATTCAACAAAATATTGCGACACCATTGAGTTTTGTAAAGTTCTGGATTTTTTGGACCAGATGACTCTTTTTGACCACCAAGAATATTTGTTGTGTTAATATTTCCATCAAAAGACCAATGACGACCTTCCAAATCATTAATTGATTCCGCCGTTTGTTTGAATGCTCTAAAATAAAAAAATGAAGGAGAAAAATTTGAATTCAAAAAAAGCATTGGGAAGGGAAATGGAGGGAAGGTTGGGAGAAATGATGTAACCATTCCTTTTCCTCGAAGATTTTTAACTTTAAATATGAACTTTGAAGCCTTATAACTTTTCGATTTGGGGGTCAGGACCAAAAAAGCCAAAAATTGGCACTAGGTTATCGACACTGCTCTACACGATGGTGCAAAAAAATGAGAAATTTTTGGCTACAGTTCAAGATGTTTCCTTGTTGGATTAAAAATGGGTAAACTTAAAGGAAGACAAAAAATGTATGGACTCTGATTTGCTTATAATTGAAAATTGCCACGGCCAAGATCTATTCTCTAATAACACTAAAACCCCTCCTCTATTCTGAAAAAAAGAAAGAAAATAACAAAGTCTGCCAGGATTAAAAATTTCTTTGAATGGGGTAACAAATTTATTAAAAAAATTTAAAATTAAATATCAAAAAATACCTAGCCATTTTAATAATAATTTTGTTGACCTCAAAATTTGCTTTAGTTAAAACCTCCATATTTTGGGAAAATGATAAAATATCCATATTTTGAGTAATTGTTAATGGATCGAAATTTTGAGAGATTGAAAACAAATCCAGTAAATTAGATGACATTGTTAATATAAACTAAATAAAAAATATTTGAAATAATTCTATTTAAAGAAAAAAGTTTAAAAATAAATTTAAAATAATAAAGAAAAAGAAAATGGGACACGCCCGAAACGGCGCGGGCCAAAACGGCGCGACCGAAACGACGCAGGCCGAAACGGCGCAAGGCCAAAACGGCGCACGGCCCAAAACGGCGCAAAAATTTCCCATAAGCTATTGTTACGTGAAATTAAGCTCGAATGGTGATCGTATCTTTTGGTGATGTGAACAAAAAATAGCAGATGTAAAGGTCGCATTTGGACAACATCTTGTGATAACAGATTGATAACAAAAAATTAAGAGTGATAACAAAACTATTTAGATCGTATACTTACTAGTAAGTATAACTGCGAGAAATAACTGCGGGATTCAGATAGTTCCAATATAACTATATTACTAGTTAGTTTCCCCTATAACTACATATATTACTAGTTAGTTCCCCCTATAACTATATAGTTATCCTCATATTATCACTGTAACCATCTAGACTTGGTTATTTTTATTCTGGTCGTTGATGTCGGAACATTTCAACGCTGCTGGAACAACTTTTCTCAATGATGGAACAGACTTCCACATTGTTGGAACAATTTTCCCGTAATGCGCAAAACCTTATTGCAGATTTTAAATAATTCGAAGGATCAGTGTACGCGCTATCGATTGATGATGTCAGATCGATCACATAGATCGATCTGATCACTCTCACATCGATCTTGATCACTCTCACAGTTGATCATATGATGATAACACGATTAATCACTATCACTGTGCAGTTTAGGGTTTGCGCCGTTTTGGGTCGTGCGCCGTTTTGGCCTTGCGCCGTTTCGGCCTGCGTCGTTTCGGTCGCGCCGTTTTGGCCCGCGCCGTAATGGGCTGTAGCCAAAGAAAATAATTCAAGAAAAAATCAAAAACAAAAAATAACATAATGCCAATATTTTAAATTTTCAAAACACCAAAAAAGAATGAGGTCGATTCAGGGCATGTAAAAAACAAATCAATACAAAAATCTAATATTTATATTTACCAAGAAATTCACGATTAAACTTTGGCCCTATGCGCAAATAAGGTCTTTTTCATAAAGAAAATTTTAAAAAACAAAATTTTTAATAAAATCTATAAAATATTGTTTCAACGAAAATTTTAGCTCGACATAGCAGTTTTAATTAATCTTGATGATAACAATATTTTATCTGGTTTGACTCGGTACTTCACGACAATGATGGAAACCTGCATAAATTGCTCAATTTTGACTGAAAAGGAGTCCAAAATCTGGCGTTTGCCAGAAATCCTCATCCTTAGATTGTATAAGGACGAGTCGATTAAGAAGTAAATAATAGAATGAATCAAAAATTAACTTTTTATTATAGTAAAACCATTGACTTCCCCTTTAACTTGGACATGAAGCCTTATCTCTAAAAGGAATCGCCGGATGTTAAAGGCATACCATCTATTCCCTCTACGGGAGGATGTAAGTGATTAAAGCTTTTACTTACTAATTCAACACGTCAACATATATTTTTGTTGATGTATTTTTGTTGATATATTTTACTTTAAGAAAAAAATAAAAGTAATTAAATTTTTGTATTTCATTTATATTGTAATTAGCTACCTAATTACTTATAAAATTTTTAAAGCATTTTTATCTAAGCATAGGCTTATCCGGTACTATTAAAATCCGATACTATTTAAAGATAACTTTTATTAGTTTCCGTACTTCATTTATTTCCCTTATTCTATTTTCCGGATTCTCGTCTCATAATTTATTAATTTTCAGATTCGAAATTATTCTTCAAAATCCCCAATGGGAGCAAAACATTCAAATATTAAAGAGGATCACACAAAATTTCCTTTCTGGTGTGGTTATTTGCCTGATGCTGATGCTTTGGAACTTTTAAAGAATAAAAACGAATTTATTTTGCGATGTTTGGAGAATGATTCTTTGAGTTTGACGCTTTATGGTGGTCCTGCAAAGGTTATTTTACAATAAGGAATAAGACTTGAGGACATTCTTGGGTCCAAAAATTTGAGTGGAAGTCTTCACTTTTTTCAATTCCATTTTAGGCACTAGTCTAACAGACTAATTTCTATCTTAAGTCCATTAATGTTGCTATTTTCAGATATCTAATTTCGTGCTTCAAAAGAATAATTCTGGATGGCATCTAGCAGGTCAAAAATCAACTGAGCCAACATCTAAAGAATTGGTTGAATTTTATTGGGTTTATTTTTCAGTTATTTTCTCAAAAATTTTCTTTTAACATTTAAGTGCACAAAACAGGCAATAATTCTTAAAGGAGACTGTGATCGTTTGGAGGCTCCAATTCTTCGCCCGCATTGGTTGCTTTCTTCAGCAAAAGTTTGGTTTGGAGACAAACTTGGTGAAGGCGCCTATGGAGTTGTCTATAAAGGTGAATTAATGGATGGTGGGACAGTTATTGATGTAGCTATTAAACAATTGGTTGGGAAGGATATGAAGAAAGAGCAGATAGACAATTTGTGGTCAGAAGCGCGTATAATGACGGGATTAAGAAATGAACATGTTATCAGATTTTATGGGATTGTTAATGATAGCAAGGTTTTTTTGAATTAAAAAATATTTTCTGGGAGTTGGCTGCTTTGGTGAACGCCAAAAGGCAAAAGTTAGAATTTCGGGTTCTTTTTCAAGAACCAATGTTTTTACTGGCACCTTCGTTTTTACGTTAAACATGTGTCCGCCCAAGGCATATACGATATTATGGTCCTCCCTAAATTCCGGTTCCACCCTAAATTCAGGAAACTTTGTAACAAATTCCTATCTTTTTCATTTTTTCAGCCGTTCAGTATTGTATTAGAATACATTAATGGAAAATCTGTGGACAGTTTTTTAAGAGAGGAAGGAGCAGATAGTGATGATAAAATGCGAACAAAAATAATTCTTGGCGCTGCTAGAGGTATGAAGTATTTGCATTCACAAAATCCTCCATTTTTGCATTTGGATTTGGCTACTCGAAATTTACTAATTAATTGGAATGGACGTCAGAAGACATTAAACAATATGGTTGTAAAGGTTTGTCCGAGAGAAAAACTTTTTTTAATTATTTACTTCTTTAGGTTGCCGATTTTGGGTTAACAAGGGAACATTTCGAACTGTGAGTAAAAAGTTCGAAATAAAAGTTATACCATCGTGTAGAGCATCGTCGAAAACCTTTATGGTTTCCGGCTTTTTCGGCTCCGACCCCCATTTCGAAAAGTTATAGGTCTTCAAAGTTTTCGTTTTTTGGAGCGGTTGAGTCGCCCTCATAAAGAGAGAATTTTTTTTTATTAGGAGAGAAATAAGACTCCCATCCTCCTTTTTTCCTTTCCTTTTCTTTTCCAATATTAGTTAAAGAAAGAGAAAAGGAGGAGAGAAAAGAAAAGGAAAAGAGGCATCTCTGCCTTGCAGCTAATGTCAATTAAAAAGGAACGAGGAGATGGCAGACATGCCTCTTTTCCTTTTCTTTCCTCTCCTCTTTTTCTCTTTCTTTAACCGACATGGGAAAAGAAGAAGAAAGGAAAAATGGAGAAAAGGAGTCTCATTTTTCTCTTTGGTAAGACAAATAATAAGAAAAGTGAGGGCGACTCAACCGCTCCAAAAAACGAAAACTTTGAAGACCTATAACTTTTCGAAATGGGGGTCGGAGCCGAAAAAGCCGGAAACCATAAAGGTTTTCGACGATGCTCTACACGATGGAATAACTTTTATTTCGAACTTTTTACTCACAGTTCGAAATGTTCCCTTGTAAGTAAGCGTGGTCAAAAACATACTATTGACACTGACCAACCAACAAATCTTCGCTGGTTGGATCCTGATTCATTTCGAAGCAAGTCTGTTGACAAATTGACAGACGTTTATGGTTGGTTTTTAAAATTGTTTTAAAAAATGTAAAGGAATTTAAGCTTTCGGGGTAACACTTTTTGAAGTCTTCAATCGTCCATATGAATTTCCTTATGCTAAATGGAGTGCGCGAAAGGTGGGTTTTAAGATTTATTTTTTATTTATTAAATTTTGGCCCTGTCTGAATATAACGGCACATTTACTTATTTTTTCCTTCTAAAGGTCTACGAACAAGTCATTGATGTTCCCAAAGCTAAAAGGAAAAGATTAAATAAGCCTGAAGGAATGCCCGTTACTATTGGTAATTTAATGGAAGCTTGTATGAAATTTGACGATAAAAGGGATGAAAGGCCTTCATTTGAACAAATTGAGAAAATTGTTGATAATATATATAGAAAGATGTAGAGGTATAATAAATATGTTAGGATTTTTTTAGGATTTTTTGTGTATTTTGTTTTTTGGTGTTGTAAATAATGTTTAAAATATATGTTTCTCCCTTATGTTGAGTTAATTTTATAATTTAATACATATTCAAGGGTTGTTGACGACCGATTTGTAAATTGAATTTTTGAAAATGAGTGATTTTTTTAATTCCCCAAAACTTATAATAGGATATTTTAAAATTTAGATTTACTAAAGCCCTACTACGATCAAATTTGAAATTTCCAAGCACTGCCGACAAACCTAATGTGTTCAATTAAAAATTTTTTCTTTTCATGAAAGGAAAAGCAGAGATTATTTCAATTAATATTTTAGAAAATTTCAGACAATAGGGAATTAACTTCCAAAAACATGTTAGATATAATGATCACAGAAAAGTTAAAATTAGGAAAAACAAAATTAAAATGAGCAAAAAATCTTAATGAAAATTCCTGATACTCTCTTTTAAAGTTTTATTTAAAAAATTTTCTTAAATAAATATTATTTAAAATCATCAAGAAAATATTATAAAGCTCATTTTCATGTTCATTTAATCATTTAATTAACCTTTCTTTTGCACAATAGCAAGAGCATTACAAGCTATATCCCCGAGATTTTGCATGAGATTTTTGCATTGTTTACTAGCATCAGACAATAAATTACTTGGAGTGGTAGGTCCACAATCACGAGGAAAGTTTTGTGCCGAATCTAAAAATTTAAAAGTAAAAATAAATTTCTTTATAAATTATTGGGTTATATTAAAGTATTCAAACAAAAAAATTTAAAGAACTTGCGGATAATATTTGCGGACAAATTTATAAAAGCTATTATTGTCTACTATTTTCTCGTTGAATTACTAGTTTAATTTGCTTACATCCCTTTTTCCACGGGTTTTAATTAAGAGGCCAAACTGTGAGGGAGTATGAGAATCAAGATCGATAAGCGAGACTTTTATTCGAGAACTCGTCTCAATTTCTAGTTCTAATATACATCAAGAAAAAATAAGCAATTACCCCAACCAAGAAGTTTTTGAAAAATTTAAAGAAAATCTGATTTACTGGTAACTTGAACAAAAAACTTTAAAATCAAACCAAATTCCAAAAGACGTCCTCCATAATGCAAATAAGCAATAAAATGAAATTCAACTTGAGTATCCGGAGGTGTTGCAGTTTCTCCACTCTCCGCACATTTCTTATGTGCTTGTGCCATTGAAGTGTGGCTGAATAGACAATCAGAACGTTCTTGGACACCCAACGGTTTAGCTAACGCATACCAATCGGCGAAAGATCCTTTACCTAAAAATTGAGTTTAGAGGCATAATTTAATTAGCTAATTGTAAGTAGACAAAAAACTGTGTCGAAAACCCCAAAAATTATAGCCGAAATATCTTTAAGGATATAAGCTACGAGAATAATCTTTTTTTAAATACCCCGGACTATAAAGCTTTTATGACCAAATAATTTAAAAAATTTTAAGTGGAAACCCAAGCAAAAATCATCCAATTAATAAAAACTCCTACCCATGTCAATACTCTCCAAATTATTAGTCAACGAATGCAAAAGCGAAAAAGTCCCACACGCATTATGTATCTTCTGCTTCATAAAGAAAACTCCTTCAGGCACCTTATCCTTTCCTTCAGCAATTAAATCAGAATAAACTTTAGCTACAGACGAGTAAGAAGTCTCAGAATATGGAAAACAAAAAATCAACGCCAAATGAGGTCCCGGCACAAAAGCAAGCAAATCATCCTCAAATCCGTAAATTTCGACACATTCAACTTTTCCAACTTCAAGTCCATTAATATACTAAAAATATATTTAATTATAAAATAAATAAAATGGGAAACCTTGTTGAAAGCTTCAGGATTTGATTCTAGAGGAATCCAAACAGGTCTACCATCACTAAAACCTGCAGAAGTCATTTTTTAAAGAAAAAAAGGATTTATAAAGCAATATTACTGTCTGAAAAAATAAAAAAAAGTTTGATAAATTTTAAAGAAAAATGACAAATTTGTTGAACTTCAAAAGAAATTCATTAGATTTTTCCTTCGATTTTTGGTCAATTGAAAAATTTTGCACTGATTGGCATTTCGTCTAATTGGCAAGTTGTCAAAATTTCTTCATAATATCTAATTTTTTTGGTCAATTTTATTTTTGGGATTTTTCGGGTTATTTTTGATTTCCTAATTTTTTTATAAATCTTCTTGATCTTTTGCTCGATTTATTTTATCAATTCAACTTTAATTATTTATCCTCTTCCTCGTTTTAGGTGTTAATAAATAATAATTTCTTCCTTTGCCTATTTTTAGACACATTTTTCTCTGTCCCCACATTATTATTTCCTCTTCATCACATTTAATATCAACCCGATCCATCACTACGCGCGTGTACTTTCTTCTTCTGAATTCAGTAGAGGCAAGCTTCAATCATTCAAGCACATGAATATTTTTAGTTTGTCTAAAATTCTTTATTTATATTATGAAGAGACGATTTACTAATTATCCTCTAGATAACGGAAACGCTCAAATGTATCCTGGAATGAATCAACATTATTCGAATGGAGGAAGTTCTGGTGGAGGAGGGCCTAAACGTTTTCGAGGTGGAGGAGGGGGAGGCGGTGGTGGGCATGATGGCGTTGATATGTACCATGAAGCTTTGGCTGCTGGCAAATTTGAATTACGTATGCTTATTCCGAGCCGTTCTGCTGGGGCAGTTATCGGTCGTGGTGGAGAATATATCAAATCTTTACGTGCGAAGGTATTTTTAATTTGAATAATTTTTGGGAAGATATACAAAAAAGGGAGGTTTTTGATTATGATCAGATTTTAGCTTATTTTTATGGTTATTTTTTATTTAGAACTGGACTAGGGTTTTCATTTATGGGGGTTTTAGATTTTTCTTAGAGATCCATTCTGTCAAATAGGCAGTCCAGTCTCCTTGATTTTGCAAAATCTCGATCTCTAGTTTTTAATGGCTATAATTATCATTTTCAGATTTTATTCACATTCTTGTTTTTCCGTTTTATAGAAAGATTTATTAGTAGTTTTTACACAAAAAAACAAAACTGGCTTGGTAATTTAAGTGCTAAATAGCACCACATAATTTTTAATCTTCGCCATTGGCGAGAAGCAATTTTCACTGTGTGGTCCGGAACTAACCTCTCTCCATTTTCAGTACGATGCCAACATCAATGTCCCAGATAGGAGCACCCCCGAGCGGTAATCTCTTCTCCCTTTCGTGGACTTTATATTTTTATACTTCGAGGGCGTACCAGGGTCCCCTCCTCTCAAACTATTATTTTTAAAATTGCTATCCCTTCCAAAGCTAGCTAATCCGAAAGTAGTTAGTCAATCTCCAAAAACTTTTCCCTGGCACGCCCTTGATATATTTTAATCGTCTTTACAATTCTTAAAAGTCAAAAGGGATTAAAATTTTTTGATAAAATCGTTTGGTGGTACGCCTTTGCTTTTTTTATTGGATTCGGACTTTTTAGCCTCGCTAGCATTTTTTTCAATTTCCTCTTTTTTAATTTTTTTGACCTTTAGGAATTGTAAAATTCTTTTAATAATCTCTAAAATTTTTTAAAATTTAGTGTGCTGACAATCATTTGCCATCAGGATAGTATTGAACAATGCGTTTTGGAAATTTTGAATAAACTTTCTGAGGTTTTCTTGCTTTAATTTTACAAATAAATCGATTAAAAAATTGCAGGGAGAGAAGGCTAGTCGTGGGGAAGTTGATGTTAAAGTTTTGGTTCATCAGTCACATGCAGGTGCAATTATTGGTCGTGGTGGCAGTAAAATTAAAGAACTTCGTGAACAGACTCAATGTCGCTTTAAAGTGTTCCAAGAATGTTGTCCAATGTCTAGTGATCGTGTTTGCTGTAAGATTTTTATATTTTTCATAAAGAGTTGTTCGAGCAGGGCTAATTGTAGGGTTTTAATTTTTTGAGCGGGAAAAAACTTTCTGATATATCGTCTCTGAATTATTCCTGTTTTTTGGCTTTACATTCGTAAAAATTTATTTTGTCTAAATTCCTCATAATACCCTTACAAAATTAAAAATATTATTTAAATTATTTTAGTGATCACTGGTGATTCTGCTAAATTACCTGCTGCTGTTAAAATCCTCATAGATTTTGTCAAGGATATTCCATTCAAAGGACCACATGTACCATACGATTCAGCTGCTTATAATCCGCAATTGTGTCACGCTTATGGCGGTTTTGAGGGCGGTAACATGGGAGGTTAATAATTGTTAATTTTTTGATTAAAATTTCTCTACTTTTTAAGCCCCAGCTCCTCCTATGCCACCTCCACATTTCGACTTTCCTCATCACGGACCACCACAGCCAGGAGTTGGCTATGCAGGATTTGGACCGGGACCAGGTGGTCCTCCAACTCATACTCCAGGCGGGCCGCCGTTGATGGGACCTCCTGGTCCTTATCCTGGAGGTCCAGGAGGCGACCAAATAACTACAACACAGGTTTAATTTCTGAATTTTTAAATAAAAAATAAATTTATTAGGTGACAATTCCGAGCAAGCTTAGCGGCACAATTATTGGGAAACGTGGGGAATGTATCAATCGTATTCGAAACGATTCTGGTGCTCGAATTGAGATTGATACCCAGACTGATCCATTTGGTACAGATGAGCGCATCATTACTATAACTGGCACAACGCATCAAATTCATATGGCGCAGTTTTTGCTTCAGCAGAGGTTTTAAAATATTTTCTGTTCAATCCTGGATTTCTTTCCTTGAATTTTTCTACAAAATTTTCATAACTTGGAATTAAATGGAAAATTATGAATAACTCTAATTTTGTTTTATGGCACCCACAATTTGAGATATTGGTACTAGAGATCGAATTTTTGAAAAACCTGGGCCTGTTCCTGGTCGCTGAGTTTGATTTATTGACCTGGGCCGGATCCTGGGTCTGTAGTACAGGAAGAACCCAGGAAGGTAAAAAAATACCTGGACTTTGGGTACAAGAGAAACCCAGGCCTTAGTTAGTCCGGATCCAGCTCGATCTCTAATCGACACCTTTAATTAAGACATCCCAAATGGATATCGAAAAATGAGGTCCAATTTTAGTTTTCTATTTTTATTTAGAGAAAAATATTAATAAACAAATTAAAAATTTTTTCAGCGTTCGTTCCTCAGAGTCAGGCCGTCGTTACTTGACTGAGAGACAGTGATTGGAATAATTATTAAAAATATTTGATGGATGGATAAAAAATAAAAGAATGGAAAAAAGTTTTTTTCAACACAAAATTTTTGGAGAGGGTTGAAAAAAGGTATATTTATATTGATGGTTATGGTTATTAATTATTTATGTTTTTTTGTTCTGTTTGCTTATCTTTTTTTTAAATTTTTGTTTGGAATAAAAATGTGAAGAAAAAAAATTTATTTTTGACATTCTCCTTTTTCCTTAGCCCTTAAAATTTTTTAAAAGATTTGCGAACAGTTTTTCTTCTATCCTTTCTCTATTTTTTCTTTTCCTTTTTGTGACACAATTTTTGTTTCTGTTTTTGGAGCATTATTATTATTATTTATTCAATTGTTTATGCATCCATCAAAAATATTATTTTTTTAAAGTCAGATCAATGAATAAAATAAAGCATTTTTTATACATGGAGTTTAAAATATTTACAAAGGGAGTTTAATGAAGTTGAAAATTAAAAAAAAATTTTTTTTTGGTTAGAGAATGTACATGGAGAAATTTTGGCTCTACTCCAGTTTATGCGTCCAATCGACTTTTATGCGTCCAATGAAAGTTTATGCGTCCAATAAAAAGAAAATTTGATTTTTCTTGGTGTAGCAAAGATGGGGTATGGTTAAACAACATTTCTTCATGTTCGGGACCTACGCCCACTGAGTCTGGGACCATTTCTTGCCTTATCCCTCGAAATTTTGGAAAGTTGTAGCCAATTTTTTAAAATTTCGGAAAAACAAAAATAACTTTCCAAAATTTCGAGGGATAGGGCAAGAAATGGTCCCAGCCCACGTGGGCGTAGGACCAAACATGAATAAATGTTAAAAAACCCAACCCCAACTTCAAAATACAAAGAAAAATCCAATTTTCTTTAAATTGGACGCATAAACTTTCATTGGACGCATAAAAGTCGATTGGACGCATAAACTGGAGTAGAGCCGAAATTTTTGGAAAATTTAAATGAAAAATTTTTAAATAATATCAATGGATGTGGTAAAGATAATTTGAAAAATAAATACATATAGGGACAAAATTAGTATGTACAAAGTAGGGGGGGTTGGGAGGAAATATTCGATTTTTTCTGGATCATTTAAACGTTTGAAAATTTTTTAGTTAAAGTTGCAGATATACATAAGCGATAAAAAATTCGAATATTTTTGTGTTTTTCAAGTGATTTTCATGGAGGTTTGGTTTTTGTGTGAATAAAAAAGGAAAAAATGTTCATAAAACAAAATATTTTTGTCATCTTCCTTCAATTCCTTTTAATTTCTCTCCTCAATTTCCTTCAATTCCTCAATTAATTCTATCATTAAATCAAAAGCATCACTTCTCTTTAACATTTTATATATTTTCGACATTCTCTCATCTGTGGCTTTGGAACGAATTGAATGTTTTGTTGTTACTCCCTCTCCATTTTTATATAATATGTTTAAATTAGAAAATGCTTTTAAAGTTTGTTGGACAACTTTACGAACTTTTCCACGCCAAATGCTCCATTGTTTTGTTGTTGGGCAAACATCAAGTTTTCCGTTTTCTTGAACACTAGAAATGTTTTCGTGCCCATTTTCTAAAACAACTTGTTTTTCTTTTGTTTTGTTTGATGTTTCCGGACTTTCTGTGCTTTCTCTTTTTTTATTCTCCTCCTTTTCATTTAATTTATTCTCTTCAAGAAAATTTATTTTAATTTTCAACATTTCTAGAATTGGGATAATTTCTCTAGCAATTTTAATACTTTTTAACCATTTTACAGCATTCTCCTCATTTTCAAACAAAAATCCTTCACTTAACTTTGATACAAAGGAAAACAAATTTCCGTGTAATACTTTGGTAGCCTCGTTTAACCAAAAATACATGTGAGCACATTTGTAGCGTCGCAGAATTTTTTCGTATTCCTTAAAGGGGTTATTAATATTCTGCAAATATTTGCGGACAAATATCTTTCTCTAAAATTAGTCCGCAAATACTTGCGGACTAATTTTTTCTTAAAAATATTTGTCCGCAAAAATTTATTCGTAGAAGAAAGTTTTTAAAACCATTCCTTACTTCATTTTTCTGCAATTCTTTAACAACTTCAAAACGAGTTTCCTTCACAGCTTCAGTTATTCTCTTCAACTTACTCATTGAATCTTTTTTCCAACCTAACAATGGAGAGATAAAATCTGTACTAATTTCTGCTTTAGCGATAGTATTTGTAATTTTAGTTTCTTCCTCTTTAATTTTTTTCAAAATTTCATTCAGTTCAGAAATGGGTTTGAATATAAATTTGTTAAAATCTTTGGCTTCTTCAAAATATTTCAAAAGATTCTTGGGTATTGAAGGTATTGAGGTTTGGGAAGACAATTCCTCATTTAAATAATTTTGACAGTTTGAAAGGATTTCCCTGAAATTTTGTTAAAATTGGAGAAAAATATTTCTTATAATATCCGCAAATATTTGCGGACAGATCTAAAACAATTAAAAATATTTTAAAAAATAATTATTTATTCAAAACATGTTAAAAATAATTTTACTTTATTTCCAAGAAATGTTCATTCTCATAGTCTACCAACAACAAATGTTTCCATTCTTCTTTGTTTTTATCAAATTCAAATGTCATTGATCTGAACATTGTTGCAGGGCCTTCTAAACCAACTAAACAACCAATTTTCGCTTCATTCAAAACATTATCAACAGATGTTTTGATGTTTTCTATTGAAACTTTGTTTTCTAACTTGTTTTTATGAGCGACTTCATTGTTGTTTTCCGAACTTTTTCCCAACTTGTTTTCCAACTTGTTTTTCTTTTCAATGTTCAACTTTCCTTCTTCAAGTTTATCCAACTCTAAAAAAACTTTCTTTCTCAACTTTTCCATATCATTTAAGAAAATGTTTGGGGCCTGTTTACATGTTTGTTCACTCACAAACAAAACTTCGCCAATTAATTTTTTTATTTGTTCGGAAGCAACATTTTCAATTCCAACACTTTCAACTTTTTTCAAAACATATCTGTCATGTTCATTTGTTGTTAAAATGTTTTTAATTAATAAAAACAAAACAAATGTTTTAAAGAAATGTTTTTCCAAACAAAACATTTTCTCCCTTAAATTTAAAAACATTAGGTAAATGTTTTTATTAAACAAACAAAACATGTTTTATTTGTTCAAGAAACCGGGGAAAATAGTACATAAAAAGAGGAGACGATGGAGAGAATTCTTTTAAACTTTTAAATTAAAAAAACATTTCTTTGAAAATTTTAATTATTTTTAGCATTGAATCAGGGAAGGGATTCTCCCCAACTTTCATTGAATATTTTATTAAATTCAAAGAAAAATTTAAAATAAATAAAAATTAGTTTTCATTGAATAATTGAAGGATTTATTCAAAATTAAGGACTTTTATTTGCCTCTTTTAATTTCCCCCTCTTCCCTCTCCTCTTCCCCCCTTTCAAAATGGCACTTTAACAATAAAAAATTTTTTTTTTAATTTCTTCACTAGACACACATGATTTCAATCAGACATTCATGTCAAATGATAAATCACGTGATTTAAGTCAAATGATTTTTAAATCAATTTTTAATTTTTATTTAAATATAAAAAAGTTTTTTTTAAATAAATAAAAATTTTTTTAAATTTTTAAATTAATTTTTTAAAAAATTTCTAAGAAAATAAAAAAGATAAAGTTTGCCAAAGGAGATATCTAATCTCAAATTACTTCAATGGTTATCCAGTTACTTTTTAGTAAATGACAAAAAAGTTTGTTGATTTTTTTGAATTAATTTGATTCTGAATTTTATTTCCTTCCAATCTCTTATTAACAATCAATTCATCTCTTTGTTTGGCCAACAAAAATAGAAGAATATTTTTAAATTATTTTAAATTAATTTTATTAAAAAATATTTCAAAATTTATTTTTAATTACAAAACACTTCACGTGAATATAAAAGTCTTAATGTTTTTTGCCCTACTAATTTTCATGTGAATAATATTTGGGTATTTCTTAAATAAAAATTCATATGATTCTTTAAAAAATATTTTTGAGAAAAATAAATAAAAAGTGCAAGAAAACAAAAAATTAATTTTGAACCCTAAATTATTAATTAAATTATTTTTTAATATAAAAAATAAGCGATTGTCTTCATTATTTTTTGAATTAAAATTTCTGCCATTCTCTTAAAATAAATCAAATTCCCTTCTGTTAAATTCCCGACTTTTAATTTAATCCCTTTATCTCAGAACAATAAAGAATCAACGAATTTTAGATAAATTTTATTCTTAATACTAGGGTTTATAACAATTTAGGCGGGAATAATTTTGGGCAGAAAAACGGACTCAAGAACTGAAAAATTAGTAAGAAAATTGGCCTTAAAAGGCAAAATTGATCTCAAGAAAAAGATGAGAGGGGGTGAAGGAGGAGCAAATATTTGTTAAATTATTAAACAGTTTGGCGAATAATGAGGGGAGGAATTGTGGAATTTTTGGCCCATTTTGGCGGAACGGGCCAAATTTAAAGAAAAGAATAGTTTGGCCCGTTCCGGCCAAAATGGGCCAAAAATTGGGCAAATATAGAAAAGGGAAATAATAGGTTGATCACATTCTAAAGTAATTAAATGATTTGTCGGGCCCATTTTTTGGGGGAAGCAATAAGAAGAATTTTGGTGCTTCCGCCCAAAAAATGGGCCCGACAGGTTTTTATTTATCAAAAAATTAGTTTAACAATAATAGAGGGAAAATGCGCGAATGCTCACGCACATAATTAATTTATTTATTTAAAAATATATTTATTAAATATTTTTTCTACATTCCCCCTCATAGCTGCTTTATTATATCTCCTTCGCCCTTTTTCTTATTTTCCCTTTCCCCCTTCTTTCCTTTTCCATCATCAATCGGGTTCCATTAAGCTTTTCACCGCGAGTTTTTCACCTAGAAGCTTTCTTATTGCCGCCTCATATTTTTCGATTTCGTCTTCATTTTTCTTTATCTCGCGCCGTCGGGTCTCAATTCTTTTTGTCATAATATTGATTAGTTCCTCAGTCGTAGCCCCTTGAGCATGGCTCGTCCCAAACATTAGTGTTTCCCTTAGGTCATCGAGCCCAGATTGTGCGAGTCTTCGAGGACGCTGTTGATTGCCAGCACTGTTGCTCATATCTGCAATTTTATTATTCAGAACTGGTGTTGCCCAAGTTTTCCTTATTAGTTCGGTTCCAGTGAAAATCGAAATTTCGAAACAACTCTGGTCGCAATTTAAGGAACTGTCGCTCACACGCTGGGTATATTCAGTTTCATTTTGGAAGCAAGTTATTTCGAATGTGGAAGCTAGATCGATGAACACGATCGAAATCAAAAGCAAAATTAGTGCGGTAGTTGGCAGATGTCTTCGTATTGATAGTCCGCGCCGAAGTCTATTCAAAGGATTCCCGAAAGGACTATCCGAATCTGTCTGAAGTGAGACGAGCGAGCTGGCTCGTGAGAATCTCACTCTCGACTGTCTTTCTTCATTGCCTCGCATCAAACGTCGCTCCGGGGTCTGGACTTCTCTCAATTCACCGAGTTCGACGCCAAACTCGACGCCTTCTTGTTTGAGATTCGAGTCCTTTGTGGGTCTGTTTCGGCTCGGCCGTGTTAGTAGTCCTACGCTTCTTAGCGTCGGCATGATCAAGTATGTGGCCGTTATTGGGATGAGGAAGTCGCGAAGGAATAGAAACGTTGAATAGAGGCAGCTGAGGATTATCCAATGCTGAACGAATGCGTCCCAAATTTCAGTCAGCCATCTTTTCGCTAATCCGGGAAGACCTCCGGGTATGGCACCGAGCACTACCGCTCTGTAGTGTTCGTCGGTTTTCTGGCTGCTTTTCCAGTCTTCCAACTGTTGAAGCTCGTCGATATGGAGGAAGGGTATTTGGTCGGCTTCCTGATGCAACATCCACTCGTGGAAGACTAACGGATGGAAGTCATAATCTCGGAATCGTGTCAAGTTGTTATGGAACTGCTGAATTATACTACTGTTGACCCATTCGACCTTTGCTATACTTGTGTCGATGCGTGACCAATTTCCTTTCGAGTACTCAAGGTACATGATGCGGTTGCGGTTGCAGTCCGCTGGGGGCGAAGTTGCGGTCAAGACGCGAAGCTCCGGGTCAAGGAATGCTTGCATAATTCTGTCATAGAAGTGCACGTCAACCGGCAAGTATTTAAAGCATGCGACAGATGGACGAGGCCTGACTAGTTCCATTTGAATTGGTGTGCACGAGAAGACTTGCATTGTGTTCTCGCCGAGCCATTTTGCCACTAAATTTTCCTTGTTGAAGAGATGACGAGCCTGTATAGTTGGGTTGGAATTTCGCTCGAACTGTTTGCATTTGTCGGCAAATATTTTTTCCATCATTTGATTCAGTGCCATTTCGGCGGCTGTCATCTCGCTCGCAAATTGCTGCTCGTCCACATTCCTTCTTGGTCGCTGAGACTTCATTTTATTGAATTCGGCAGTTTTGATTCCAAAGCCTTGTTCAGCTATAGTCAAGGGGGTGCCGTCGCAGGATTTCTCCGTAGGCGCTGTAAAGTTGAACGTGAGCGCTTGTTCACGTGACTTAGAGACAAAAATGATGCGATTTTGCTCTATTCGGAATAATCCATCAATTACTTCGGCAAATTGGTGCTGACATTTCTGGCAGAGATGTTTTGGGCATCTCGCATCCCATATAATTGACGTGTTGTCTGACAGAACGCAAAATTCGTCCCCGAATTTGCAGTGGTCCAAGTTATGAACCGGCGACATCAGCTGTAGAGTTTGCGGCTTATAAAATGCCGAAGTAAGCTGGACAAGGCAGTTCGTCACGGAGTTTTCCTTTTTTCCCCCAAAGAGGCTGGCAAAGCGACCAGGGAAGTCAACGGAAAGAACTTCATTTGTCGACCAAGAATTAGTATCCAATTTGCCCATCGGTTTTTCAGTTGGTGGGCAAATGTGCCGTTCAGTCATGTTGAGGCAGTCCTTTCGCGAGACAGTAGCCATGTACCGGTCCACGGTGACAAAACGGTCGCCTAACAAATTCGTATAATACGATTCGTGGACGGTTTTGATCGAGCAGCGATGGGCAATCATTTCTCGCGCTTGATTAACGTGGGAGTAAAGAGATACTCGAGTCGGCTTCCACTTAAGCTGCGACGAAAGGGTGCTACAGTATGGCGAGGTTGCCTTTTCAGGGAAAGTCCACAGGGAACTTGACTTGTGAGCGCACCAGAGAGCGGGTTTATTGTGACTTGTTTTGTTGTCTAAGTTCACTGACCTAGTGTATTCATGGTGTAAATTTTTTAACCAATTCGAGAAATCATTTTCTGTTGCCTCTGAAGCTCTTTGTGTGCTAGGTTGATAACTTGGGGCGTTATTGGCAAGTTTCGGTGGTTGCCTTTGTTTTAAATTTGTGCTTGGTGGCTGTGTTGGTGCTATTGTTTTAGTATTTTGAAAACGAGGCGCCAAAGTTTGGATTTGTGTTGTGCTGTTGTATAAACTTTGAGGGATATGTTGAGGCTGTGAATTGCTTTTAGGTGGTATTAGAACTGTGTTTTGCGGAGTCTCAGGGTTTGGTGCTGGCAAACTGGTGAGCACTTGAGTTGGTCTGAACGTTGTTGGCAATGATTTAGAAGGCAGGGTCGACTTGAATAACGTTGTTGTAGTTGTAGTAGTTGTCGGAGGTGGATAAGTTGTTGTCGTAGTGGTTGTTGCTGCAGCTCTCAGCCTTTTTTGTAGTTCAGCTAAATGTGCTTTCTTTTCTGGAGATAGAGCCACCGTTATTCGTCTGCCTTTTTTAGAGATTGTAGTGTGTGGTCCTCGGAACTCCGGCATTGCGTTCTGATCGGCCTTCTTTTGGATTTGTATAAGGAGAGGGCTATTGATTGCTGACACAACCGTAGGCAGGAAAATAGCCAGAAGCATAATAACAAACATGCAGTATTTGCCTTGTGGCCATTTGGTCCTTGCTAGCCCTTTTAATCTTTCTTCCTCTTTTTCTTTATAATGGCTTGCAGGAGGCGATCTATTTCTTTCTTTGTAGTGTGCTGCCAATTTTGCATTTATAATCATTGGTTCTGCGACCATTGT